CAACCCATTTAATGATTTTGGCAAAAGACCTGGCAGCAAGCTCCAAAGATTTCATCTAGGCAAGGCAATGCCTATTCCAAGAGTGGAAATCTCCAAACTGGAGAGCTGGCAAGTGCGTATTTGTGCTGGAAGCTTAAATCAATCATTTCCATTTTCCGCATTGTGACATTGCAAAATACAGAAATTGGCTCCTTCATCAGCAACCACAGGCCACTTTCATGTTTAAGGTATTAGTGCCGCCAGCTGCAGTGATCCATTAACTTCATGTTAAGCAGTCAGTGTTGAAGCCACCTGTCTCGTTGTTCTTCTACAGCGGCGCTGTTCTGAGAACTGTCAGCATTGCTCTGTTGGCACTGTGGCCAGTTGTCCAGGAGCCCGCTGTAGCTTACCAGTCTTCTCATCCCATTTCTCTGTGTCCGTGCAAAGCTTCCTGCCACCAATGGCCACGTCTGTCAGCAATCAAAATGCTACTGCAGATTTTATATTATTAAGTACACTTTCCCCCTGAAAGGCATGAGTTAACTGTAGGGGCCTAATAGCAAAACTGGGAGTAGATTAATTAAGAAACCTACTAAGTAGCCCCCTAACTCTTTATTCAGGGTCTCATCTGTTGAGTCTGGAAGTTCCTGAGGTGACAATAGCTCCTGTGGATACCCAGAACTGTCTTTGCTAACTCTGGTGGCAGTCAAGAAGTAAACAGAATGTTATCCAAGTCCGTAGGTTTTCACAACTTTCTGATAGACAGAAACTCTTCTTAAGTTAAGGGAAATGTGCTGCAATACTGGTATCTTTACAGAGTAAGCTTGTGGTACACACACACCACAGAATCTGATTTTCACAACAGCTCTGCATGGAGTACACACCAAAGATGTATCAGTAGGATGCTCAAAGGGCCAGAGTCCATAGCGTGGCTCAGTATGCTTCAAAAATATGTTTATGTGCAGCCTAAGAAGCCACATGTCCTCTGAACAGCTACAGACGTGACAATGAGACAAGGATGCTTTCTTAAAAGTCATAACTGCTTAATATGCAGTGGTGCATTTGCCAGTGCTGCCCCTCAGTTACTTAATGGTTGGAAAGAGCCTCTGTGCTTCTTCCAGTTCCAAAAGGTTGAAACAACTCCCAGCTGCCAACATCTCCCATCTGATTTTCTCTTTGCTTCTCCAGGCAGAGAACGGCCATCCTTCACTTCCAAATCAGTTTAAAAAATTAAAAACACATTCAGTAATATATAGAATCACTGTTTATTCACCGATGTCTCTAATTCTGTCCCAGAATCCAGAAACACTGCAAACACAGGATTTCTCAAACTCCTGTGAAACCAGAGAGCTGAGCTTTTCCCTACATTTTTCTCCTCAAGAAACTCAATGCTGTACAACATCCAGCTTGGCCCTCCAATAATAATTATGGTAATTAGCCTTTATCTCCTTTGGGCCAGCTGCTAAAGCAGCCCAGCTGATTTCTCCAAGAGGAGTAAACAAACAAAAAGAAAAAAATAAAAAGAAAAGGTTATGTCTCAGAGGATAAAAGCAAACGGCCAAACTGAAATACAGCTCCCTCTAATCATCTGCACCCCACTGTTATCAGTTTTCTCTCCAAGCAATCAAAGTTCCTGCGAGTGGGTTGGGAGGAGAGATTGCAAGGGGAGACCATTTTTAGGTCAGAAGTAGGGACATTTGGTCCCAGTCCATCCTTCCAGCACTGTTCGTGCACCTTATTAGCAAATGGTGATTGAATAGAAAAGTCAGTCCTTATGCCAAGTTGTGCATGTGTCCCTGCTCCTCACTGCCTTCAGGGCTCTCCTCATGCCTTGAGCTGCCTACCTCAGCCCCACAAGAGCTCCTCAGTGCTCACTATCCATGGCCTAATGAGACTGGCCCAGGGTTTTGCATCATCACCACAGCTTCAAAGCAAAGAAGGTCAAGCTACGAAGTCTGAACTCCAGAGCCCTCACATGCCACCAGAAGCTGCCAGGTTAGCGAGGAGTTGGCACCAAGCCTCACAGGCAAATGCCAGGCTCCTACCACTGGCAGATGTAGGAATCCAGTCCAAGATTATTATTATTTGCTAGCTGAAATTCATCCTGATATTTTTTTATGGCAAAAAACAAACTGCCTAGCTCTACTCCAGAGTTCCCATTTCCAGGCCCATGGCCAGTTAATATTTCATCTTTTACTGCAGCTGACCAGTAGTGGAACAAGCACTGAGTGAGTCCTGCTGTTCTGGTCTGTCAGAAATCCCAGCTTGGAGCTAGCAGGGACCATGTGAGATGCAGACTGTCCTCCATGACTCCCTTCAGTTTTATTTCCTCAAATCCTGTGTAGCATCTGCTCAAGAAAGTTCAGTCTGCAGGTGCAAGTTTCACATTCTGTATCTGGCACATGTATTTGATGTCAGGAAAAACACTGCAAGAAAATAACTCATTGGTAAATAGAAAGGTTCCAGGAGTTTTTTTTTGTGTTCCAGTGAAAAAAAACTTTTTTCAGTAAGCATTTGTCTCTGCTACTTGTCACCTAAACATCACAAGGCAAATCACAAAATCACAGAATCATTCAGGTTGAAAAAGACTGAAGTCACCTAGTCCAACCATCAGCCCATCCCTACCATGCCCACTAACAACGTCCCTCAGTGTGACGTCCACATGTCTCTTAACACCTCCAGGGATGGTGACTCCACCATCTTCCTGGGCAGCCTGACCACCCATAAAATAGCATTGATTAGAAACTGATTCTTGAAACAAATTGTGTCCCTTTCTTTGCACGGCAGTAATAAATTACCATCACCACGTTTCTCTGACCCTGTGAAATGTTAATTTGTTGGAATATGCTCACGCTTCCAAAATCATGTCTAATCACAAGTTTTAACTGCACATAATTCCTGCCAAGATTTTCCTCTATAAATTCATTTTAATTACATTCAAGTTTACGGAAAACATTTTTAACCCTTGTAGTTTTGCATAAACCCATATGAAGGAAAGATATATTATTTGAGGAGAAATACGAAAATTAAAAATCAGTAATAACTTTTGCTATGGGTTTTTACATTTCATTTGTACACTGAAGAGAAAATACTATATCTCCTTCAGCCCCCCTGAATCATGGAGGCAGATTTCTGAAAGATGCCCAAGGCCAGTAATTTTAACAAGAAGCAAAAACAAATCATGTCCCACTTTACGTCCCAGGTCATAGAATGAAAAACTATAGGCCTCCTATTTACATCTTTAGCACATGTTCTCACTTGAGAATCAGCAAGTTACTTACATTTGACATACAAGAGGCAAGGGGCAAAGGAGGCACAGAAGTATGCCCTTATTCCCTGCAGAAAGCGTACAGAATCCGGTACCTTTTCTTTCTTGAACTTTGGAAAACTGAACTTAAACTATAAGAGGATAAAGGAAGGCTGCGGGAAGGCAGCTGGTACAAGAAAGGTGCAGACACTGAGCCCTGTCCGGTGCCAGCTGGAAAAGATCCACAGTAAAAAACAGCTCTGCAAATTTCACAGCTGGAACATCGCTTGAATAGGAAAATCTACAGAGCTGTGCACACTTTGTTTGAAGTGAAACCATCTCATGGATCTTTGGCTCTACCTATTTTAGAATGAAATAAACAATTACTTGGGGGGGAAAAAAAGGGAGATCTCATTTCATCATATCCCAATGAAACAAAATCTGCTCAGCCTACGGCCCATATCCATTACAGCAGATTAATCCAATCCCAAAAGAAGTATCTTGTCCAAGATGTGAAGGCTATTATTGAATGCTTTTCAAGAGCAGTTTTTGTCTCAGAGGTGTGTGAACATCGCAGCATCAGCTGGGGCACGCCAGACCTACCAGCAGGATGGATGGGCACACCATTAATGCCCAGCAGCAGTTTTCTTTCCAGGAGGCTGGGAATGGGGGACACTGCAACCTCCCAGACCTGAGCACTGCTATGGTCCCCCACTGATGTCAGCTCTTCAAATAAGTGTAGAGAAACTACCAATTAATGAAGGAAAATTTGTGCAGTTATGCTGACTCTAGTGACCCTATGTTTTACAGGCTTTCCTCAGGCAAGATTATCATGGGTGTAGTAAGGGTGCAAAATTTGCATTAATTTATATTTTAGGAGTATTTCTGCAATACCATAGAATCACAGGATAACTGAGGTTGGAAGGAACATTAAGGCCCACCCAGTTCTAAGCTCCTGCCATGGGCACGGCTGCCACCTGACATCTCAGGCTGCTCAGGGCGCCATCCAACCTGGCCTTGAGTGCCTCAGGGATGGGGCATCCACAACTTCTCCAGGCAGTCTGTGCCAAGGTCTCACCACTCTCTCCTTCCTGCTTAGAAGTTCCTAAGATTTTATAAATATTTTTACCATTCTATCTATCACACAGAGCTTACTCGGGGTGCTGAAATACATATAAAGAGAGAAAGCCTGGATCCCTCATTTTCTCTTTGCACTTCCTTCACTAAAACCCTCTTTTCCTAAAAACAGTGGCTAAGCCTCAGACTAGACTAGACTAATTTAAAATACAGCCAGTCCAGCCCAGCACTCAAGACATGGGAAGGATATAAAATGCCACACTTGATTGCTCAGCTCCACCTTGGCTGGGTATCTTGCAAATACATGCATGTGCACCAAGGTTTATGACAAATGCTCTTTTCTTTCCCCCATCTCATATAAGAACTTATGTCCTTTGAAGATAAGAGAATTAGTCTGATAGCAAAAGATAATCAGGATTTTCCCTCTGCACATAGTAAAAATGTGTGTACATGATTATTCATACAGTATTTATGCCTACAATTTTGATTCTTGAACAAGCAGGGTCAGATTTTTAAAGGCAGCAGATATACAGCAGAATATTTTTAAGTCTCTCACAAAAATCCTCTTTGTTTCCCATATTTGTGCATTTATGCACATCTGGGGGTTTTCAAAAACAAATTTTAAAAATCCTGTCATGTGTCTATTTGCATTTCTAGGCAATTAAAAGTCTAAAAATATCCCTACTTGTCACTAAGAGGCACTTATACTTCGAGAACGTTCTGTTTCATTAATGGTTATTGAGTTTTTCTTAAGGCTTTCTTTATCTACAAAACACATTTGGGACAGCCAGGGGATAAATTAAGTAGGATTAAATAACATATGACTCATCAACGTGCAGGAATTCAATGTCTACTTGAGTACATCCAATGAAAAGGTGTTGCGGATTCTTGTTCCTGTGGCATTCCTCTTGTTAAGTGGAACGGAAGGTGCCTTCTTCTTTCAGCTTTGACTTTTCCCCGAGTCATCTTTATTATTCAAAGTGCCATAGCATGAACCGTAAGAATCTGGTTGTATTTTGCCTGTCAATTTTTGTCCTAAGGAAATGGGGTGAGAGAAGGGAAAAACAACAACTCCGTGAAGAATTTTAATAAAACAAATCCCCCAACCAATCCATCATTTGAACATTCCTTGCTCCAGTAATCACTGTTTTCATTTGACTGGTTGTAACAATAGCTTGGAAAAACTCTGAAAAATTATTTGAAAAATCTGTTGGGAACAGGAATAGAAATTAAGGGAACAGTATATTTATTAAATACGACTAGAGCACATTTCTGACTCAACTCTCCTAGGTCATTCCATTAACTGATATCTCATTTTTAAACAGACAGGAAAAAAAGTCCTACTTACCAGGAATACATCCACAGTCAATATAAGGAACTTGTAAACGCTCCTCTTTTTTATTTACTGCAATTACAAATACACTGAGGAAAGATAGGAGACACCTGCAAAATAACAGTGGCATCGTATTATTAGGAACAGTTCACTGCATCTGAGATGAAAACTTTTACCCATGTTTCTTGTTCAAGGATTTCCAAACACAAGCTGCTCTGTTTTTAAGGAACCTTTTCCTGCTGGCAGCTCTGTACCTTCATCTTGGTCTCCTGTCAGACTAGTTTGTGCCTCCTGAAGCTTTTCAATTGCTTCCAAAGGCTTTGTAGGAAAATGATGCTTTCAGTAACATATACCTAATCAAATACCTGTGAGTGTGAGACCACAACCTTTGGATTCCTGACCAAATCTTGACAGAGCATCTCAGCTAGCACTGCAGCATTTGTGATTTCATCAACAACTCGGGCTTGTTGCAGACAATCAACATCTCTGTTGTTTTTCTCACTTGACTGTGTGTCTCAGGGGCAAGCTGTAAGCCAGGAGCAATGAGAAACTGCTACACTTGGACAAATCTCCTATCCATTCTGTGTTGGATACATAATTGCTACCTCCTGCCTGCCAAATCCATGGTTGGATTTGCTCATCTCCATTTTCTTTCACTTTTCCCATAGTCATGCAACACTGCAGTTCTGGGCATCTACTGCAGTCTGACTGCAGGGGACGAAGATGTCTGCAGCTGTCAGCCTGGCTGTTTGACATCAAGGGGACAAGATGGTCCCGCAGTTCTGGAGGTGCTATTAACCATCTATAGCCCATCCTTAAGTAATATTCATCTCTCTCCTGAGCTGTTGCTGTGCTGATAGTCATCGGATTTCTGGCTTAGGGCCTTCTTCAAATGTGTTTTTACAGCTTCTTAGCATACTTCCTTGGCACAAGAAGATCCTTGTAGGCAAACAACTCCTCTAAGTGCCCACATCTAATGGCATTAAATGGCAGCTGGACATGCAGGTGGAACGTGCCATGGGAGATTTCTCACATAGGTACAAGCACCCCTACAACATCATCTTTGGTGGAGAGCATTGGAGGAACACTTGCTGCTAGCTTTTCATACCACTGTGGTAGTAGTCTGCAACTATCTCACACACATTCTTACATATTTGGATTCAAAACCAGGCCTCCAAACTCCCATAACATAGATATTAAGTCATTCCTTTAATGTCTTTTCATCCTACTATTCCATAATGCTTTAATAACAAGACAGGTTCTTCTTACTGAGAAAAGAAGGGGTTCCACAAGGCAATGCTGTTGTAGTACAAGCGTTTGTGCAGACTGCAGGCCGATGCACTTACCCGAACAGAAACATGAACACGCTCAGGAAAGCTGCACTTTGGAATTCCTGATAAAATATGACCCCTGGAATGTGACAAAAACAAGAATTGCAGATCTTGACTGGATTCCAAGTGATATGAATTACAGCTGGGAGGGTCAGGAGCGGTGTCATGCTCAAGTGGAGCAAAAAAATGCCAAATATGGTATTAATACACATCGTGGTGGGTTCGTATTATATACCCGTATGCCATTATCAAGGCTTTCTCAAGATACTGCAAGAGACTGGAGAAGATTTAGTCTATCAGGGTGGAGCATGTGCTATGTTAGTAACTGCACAGATGTAGGGTATTTTTTGCATTGTCAACAACAGTTTTTGTGCAGGTCAAACTCGAAGTCTCACTCACAAGCATTCAGCTAGCAGGTTCCTCATGGATTTAATTAAGCCACTCCAACAGTGTGGACACTTTAACTCCAATTGGGAACAGGTTTTTGATAACTAGCTGTGTCCCTGGTATTTGCACCAAGTTAAGGGCTCCAGCAGCCAAGTTTGCCAAATCCTTCTGGCTGAAGGGATCACTAATTCTTTCTGGTCACCCCTCGAACAGGAATTAGCACCTCTGCAGTGGAGATGACAGAGCCAGATGTGTTTCTGGACCTCAGCTGTCCTAATGCACAGCCAAGTGTATTTGTTTTAAACCACTGATGAGCATAGTTTTGCTTAGAAACACCAGAGTGTGAACCAGAGCCACTGAAGTGTGTCTATATATTCAAAGACTGCAGCTTGGGATGGGCAAATCACAAGAGGAGGTATCTTCCACCAGTATCCCAGCAAGATTCAGCAGAGCTTGTTCTCTAAGTCCTACACTGGTTTAACTAACCTGATGCAAATGCATATGTATCCAGTCTCAAAGCCATTAAGCCGTTCCTGAATAGGTACTTGATCTCTTACGGAGGCACAAGGCCAATTTCCCCATATGGCTGCAAGAATGCAACCCCCTTTTGGAAAAAGTCTCAGTCACAAACTGTAGGCCTCCTAATGCAGGTGCCGAGGCAATCTGTGCACGAAGCTAACTCCCCTTCTCATTAATGGCAGCTCTGCATGAGAAACTCCTGCGCAGCAATGACAGGAAAGCCCCCAGTGTGTGCTAAAATGAGTCATAAATGTTATAACAACACGATCATTTTGGCTCATTGCTGATACAGCATCTTAGTTGTCCTCCCTGCTCATGTTCTTCCACTCTGCACCATTTCCAAGATCTGAAGTTCCTCTTTAACAGCACTGAGTTCAGAGTTCTCACCCAGAATAAAATACTAAATGCTTAAAAGGTCTTTGGAGTCATTTTATTTCCTTCACTTAACCTACAATTCCACCTTCTGAAACTGAATATACACTAACTACTATGAAGCACAGCTGGTTGTCATTTGAGCAGTTTGCCAGGCTGTTAAAATTACTCTACCAGCTCAGATACGGGGAGGTTGGTGTGCACATGGGAAATGCATTTGCTTGATGTCAAGATGCGGCTAAGATAAATGCAGGTAATTCTGGTGAGCCACTAAGGCACAGCAAACTGTACATATCAATTCTGGAAATGCCAGAATTCAGTATTTTTTATTTTGCTTTGAAAGTTGCAAACTGGCTCATTTTTCAGAGCATAAACACCTGTCACTTAGGAAAACCTTTTTGTGGAGGCAAACGTGACTGGCTTGTGGTCCTGCCTGAAGACAGTAATGTCTGAAAACTCAGTGTTTAGAAAACCATTCTATAGAGACTGAGAGTCAGAAACCAACCTGAAATGATGGCGCTCGTGGTGCAGAACACAAAGTTAATGGGCACAACTGCCCTTGCTTCATATAGATGCATTGCTTGATTTAAGAACCTGGAAAACAAGTGTTATTGCACCACTTGGCTACAGGAGCTTCATTACACGTTAGGTAAGGTTAAGCTGGCTTCTGTCAGTTCAGTGTGACCATTTCTTACGACTATAACAGTCCTTGACAGATGGGTATGTGCATTGAATTCACTTGCTAGTTTTGACTTTGCAGAGTACAAACAACAAAAAAAAAAAGAGCAAAGCAAGAAAGTTGGAATAGATTCTTCTGGCCATAGACTGCCATTGGAGAGACCTTTGAAGCGCTGCTGGAAAAATTGCCTGCCACAGATAAGGGAGGAATGCTAGGATATTGCTGGCCATGGTGTGCCTCAGCTCTTGGAAGAAGTGCTGCCAGGGACAAGTTGCTCTAATTTAAGCAGGTTGGGTAAGGATATATTTCCAGCACGGACATGCATATGCAACTCCTCATAGAACTGTTGCTCAGTCCAACTTGGCTAAAGCATGTATTTGCATGTTTATCACCCCATGCAATCACACCCAGACACACACAGTTCCACTGGAAAAGTCCAGGCCTGTGCTCCTCGGGTTGGAAACTCTCTGCTGTGGTCTGCAGAAAGGCAACCCAAACCCTCATCAAAATAATCAGCAAGAATTTGCAGGAGCATGTGAGTGTGCACTGCATAGAAACGTGCAGCACTGAGACACCAGCCATGGAGCAGCCCACACATTCTGCATCAGCAAGCAAAGAAGGCCAAGCACTAACCCACTTCTAAGGAGACCAAAGCCATCAACATTTACCCACAAGGTGATGAATCATGAGTATGAGCTCTTGGATGCACCGATAGTCTGTTATAGGAACGGTGCATTTCGAACTGAAAGAGAAAAATCAGAAGACTGAAAAGTGTATTCAAAACCTATAAAAAGAGCCACACTTAAATGTTTCAGTGGTACAATATATGTGAACAGTAAAAATCCAAGCTTGGATCTGTTTTAGCCATTAAAGTAATTGCATGGTTATTTTAGCAACTGTTGAACAGTCTCCATGGTGCTTTAAAAATAAAGAAATCCTACATATCCACAGGATAGTCAGGATTTTGAAGTCATTGAAAACACCTCATTATTTTCTCCCACTTGCAACAAACTTGGTCACAGGGTCTAAAATAGTGATACTGAGCCCAGCACTGAGTCCAGGAGGATGCAGCAGCCCAGGCTGTCATTGTGAGCTGACATGACAGTCAAATAAAATGAGAGAAGAAACAGTGAGAATGAAAAAAAGTAAACTGACAGCACTGTCTCCATTAGAAAATGTTTCCAAACAGAGGAAGGATCAAGAGTCACTGAGCCCAGGAAACAAAATGGGCACATTTTCATTTTGACCCAGCAAAAAGAAATAATGAAAGTGTTGGCAAGGAGAGATTAATTCAGCAGCTTCCTATTTACGAAACTTTTATTTCCTATTTTTAATGCCCTGAGCTGTTGTCCTGGTGAAGACAAGCTGGTTGTAAATCACTCCACTATCAGTTATGGCGGAGTTCCTGAGTCAGCCATGGAGAGTCACTGCACAATAATGCATGGACTTTCTGATTCCACATGGAAATGGTACGTTCTGCCACAGCAAAGCTGGATTGGCTCTTCTACCAGAAAATAATCCTGCAAGTAAATACTGGAGCAGCCTAGATGAAATTACTGAGTGATGCTATCAGCACCTGAAGCATAAAGGGAAGGGACTTTCTGTTCAGCTGCAAGTCATATTTTACCAGCCTGCCACCCCCAGCAATCTGCAAAGGCAGCCTAAAACAATCACTTAACAGGCCAGAGGCCAGCAGGAAAAACTCTGATGTCTCCCACTCACCAAAAGCTAACTACTTCCTAAAACAGCACAGACATACAAGGCAGCAGAGAGCAGCATGCACATGTAACAGAAGCTGGGAGAAAGTGGGGGTAAACTCTTCTTCAGTATGATAAGTGACATGAGCTAGGGACAAGAGGTGCAAAGTGAGGGTAAATGTGGCCATTTGATTATTCAGCACCGAAGGTTTCCGAAAGCAATAAAAAAAAATATCAGGAATATAAATTTCAAGTAATGAGTCTAAAACTTGTGCCGAAACAAGAACCATATTTGGCCATACTTTGTTTAAGGTGATAGTGAGAGAAAGCATCTGTCTAATTAATCAATTATGAACTGAGAAATAAAGCCTAAATAAACAGTATTATCAGTTGTAGACAATTCATGCATCTGTCAGGGTTCTGCCAGGAATTTGCTGCCTTTAAGAGCAACTTACATCTAGGGTCCATGTCAGTGCTGTGGAGAACTGACAGATAAATTGATACAAAGGTGAGGAGATAAGGAGAAACTCACTTACTTGACCTGGAAAACACAAGAAGTTGCCATTAAGATGAGCATGATATAGAAAACAGGGTAAGTTAGCTGCATTTTCCCTTTGGCAGAGAGCATTATCATGCTGGCCACAGCCTTCACAGCAATGACAGTCAGAGAAGCTGAAAGGGAAAAGGAAGGATTAACAGGGCAGGACCCACAGTGGTGACCTCAGAGCATCAGTGAGAAATGTGCCATGGAATTGATGCCTTGAGAGACACCGAGGTGGAATTTGGGCACCTAAAGCCAAATGTGTGATTTATAAACATTTGCTAAAAGTTGATGTCTCAGCTCAGAGCAGCCTTAACCGTGTGTGTGTGCTTTACTGATGTGTTTTGCAGGTCTTGCAGAACTGATGTCTGCAACCTTGCATCTGTCCAAAGTCTCTCTGCTTTCAGTGTGGCAGAGGTGACGGACTAATAAAATCTTGCAGTATGTGAGAAAGAGACAGAAATTGAGCTGGGTTCAAAGAAAGACTCCATCCATTTTCTGCTGCTGAGTATATGCCCTCCACAATGGGCAGAGGTGCTCAAATAGCCTCCACATCTGCCAGACATCCTTTATTCAGCCTAGCTGTTAATCTGGAGCCCTTGTTGCATTGTGCAAGCATGAGAGGCCTCCTTCTCCATTCAGAGAAGCCAGTACACCTACTAGCAGCCTGCATGTGACATGGCAGCCAGAAATAATTGCTAACCCTCAGGATTTCTCTGCTGAGACAGGAGCTGGTCAGAGCTGATGGGATCGTGTCACCAAGCACTTAACTCTCCCCACAGGTTGTGTACAGGGTCCAGGCAGTGAGCACAGGGTCTGCGCTACATGTCAGGGGGTGAGTCTTAAGACCAGAGAATAGTATGTTTTCAATCCATTAAATCATCTTCAGTGCATCACCAAAAAAAAAAAGGTCCCAGCAGACGATGATATGGTATACATCAGCAGTTTGGAGAACTCTTGCAACGCACATCTTCTAGAAAAGGGGCTGAGAGCTGAGCTAAGAGCTACTTCAGGATTCCTTTTGGAGTGCGCTTGTGGTTTGTTGAAGCGAAACCAAGGAGGTTGTGATGACTGCAAGAAAAAATACAACAAACTCAAAACAAACTGATAACGGTAAGAAGAATCAGGGTGCAGCGGTGACCTTCGAAGAGAGGTAATTCATTGTCAGAAGCACCGCTCCCCAGCTGGGATCCAGTTCCACCCTGTTCCAGGACTGGGAGTGTTGGATTTCCGTGTCTGATTCATCCTCCTGTCGCTGCAAAATTCAGATTGGCAAGGCAAGCTGTGCTGAGCAAAGAGTTCAGAGCAGGGGCCCGGAGGAAAGGTGGGGGAAGAAGAATGGATTTGGGTCTGAGGTTTTGACTGCAAGCATTTTTCTTACAGCAAGTCCAAAAGTTCAGAGGGAGTTTAGGAGTTGTATGCACTTGTGATGATCCTGCTCACCATCATGGAATTCACTCCTTTAACAGCAACCTTTGCACCTAGTGCTTTACTTCCTGCTCTATAATTGAAATAGGTGGAGTAGTTCACCAAACACAGCAATAACAGTGAGCATGATGGGTCAAATCCTGACCTACGCTGGGGCTTATGATAAAAAGCCAAAAACACACAAAGCCCCCATCAAGCAGCCCACATAATAATGGAGGTTTGTGTTGCAACTGGGAGAGTTATTATTTTGGAAAGAACACTTCCAGGTAAAAGTCAGCAGTTTGAATTGTCCAACTAAGTAAAAATTGCCGGAAATTAGTTTTGATAAAAGGGTCATTACTTTCCCTTATATTTTTAACAAACCAGAAAAAGTAAGCAGGAGGGATTTTTTGGTTTTGCTGTTATTTTTGTTTTGGCTTTGTTTTGCTTGAAAAGATGGAATGCTCTTTTAGACCTGGAATAGGTTTCAAACCCCTAGGAAATGGTTTCTCTGTCTCTAATAGAATGACTCCTTCCAAGCTAGTGTGACAAATGATGCCACTGTCCAGCTGTTAGAAACTCAGAAATCCCACTTTAATCTGAAATATTTTCCCCAAAACTTATGATAACTCCCAGTATAAGCATGAGGTAAGATGAGTCTCACCCAATGGACTTGCAGATTTACAGTAAGTAAGATATTTGCAGATTTCACGATCACCTCTGCATTTTCTTTGTAATGGAAGTAGCTTTCACATCCAATGGAACACGAAGGCTGCCTTTTCTTTCTACATTTCATTTACATCCATGTGAACCCTCCACCAGGAATGAATCTGTGCAGATGTTAGGTAAGGCAGAAATCCCCTTCCGTGAGCTGCCCCTGAGAATTTTGGGCATGGTGACCCCATTCCTCATCTGCCTGTCCTGCAGCCAGTCCAAGTGCCGGGAACACACGGGATGGCTGTGAGCCCTCCCTCACATCCCCATGGCTGTGCCCAGCAGAAATGTCAGATAGGAAGCAGTGCAGCTCTGCAGGGACTCCCAGGCACCAGGACAGCTTCAGGAGCTGGAGGCAGCCACAGTTCTGGACTTCCTGCTTGAGGGAACTGTCTGAATTTAAAAATTTCCCATGAACCAGGATTTGTTTGTTTGTGCCTCTTTTAATAGAGCAGGAATAATGACACATTTTTCCTGAAGCTGCACATGCTCACCACAACCTCAGCAGCCACCAGCTGCAATTGTTGTTTATGCTCGATTTCAGCCTTCCCACCAAGATGCAGTGAGTGCCTCCTAGGCTTTGCAGATCTTCTGCTGCTCAGCATCACCATACATCCCTTTGGCACTACTGGTGTTGGGACTGGCAGGCTCCACAGCAAAACAAACACATAGGGCTTCACAGCCTGATGGACCACCTCTCCTAGACTTGGCCCAGATGCCTTTCTGCTGGGTCTGCCCCGAACTGTGGAAGATGAGCATGGAAATCCATCCTGAGTTCTTTAGCTGTGTGGCAAGGACGCTGAAGCTCTCATTGCCCAAGAGCACTGAGGGGTTGGAAACTACTGGGCAGCTCAGTGAGTTTTGCCAGAGCTGCCAGGCTCCATGCTAGGAGTTGTCTGGGCTCGCAATCTCTTCCAAAGCAAGAGAGCAGTCAAACAGACTGATGACTTTTGGGACTCTCTGTCTCTGCTTCATCCAGGGAGAAGGAAATCCTTCAAGACTTCTGCAGAGCTGCTGATCCTAATGTTCAAGGTGCTGGGAAATTTAGTGGGAGGACAGTCCCAAAAAGGTAGATATGAAAGGAAGTCTGAGCTTTTCAGCTAGGTGAGAAGCCAGGCAGGAGTCTGGAAGAATGTGGCCAATAAAATCTGCATGTGTTTTACAGTGTATCACTGGCAAACTTCAATTCAGTTTTCAACCAGTGGGATTTCTGAGTTTCAATTCACATTCAAATTCAGTTTTATCAAAACAGTTCTGACCAGCTCAATGAGAAACGCTTTGTCTCTGTAGGATGACACATCCATCCAGTGAACACAGTGAAAATACAAGGGCTTCTCCAACCGTAATGTCTCCTATTTGATTACGTCAGCCCATGACATCAGAGGCGGATGTTGGTGGTATGGAAGTAGAGGTTGAACCTTCCCACCAGTATTCTGTTACATGTTGTTGCTGTGTGACAGATGGCAGCAGAGGGACAGTCTGACAGAATGGTGTCTGACGTGGATGTGTGTATGGAGATGGTGTACCATCAGGGTTTCATAGATAAGTTGACAAGACAAAGACGAGAAAAAAGATGGAGCAGTGACAAATTCTTAATATATGCCTGCTTGCAGTGGAGCTTTAAAAGGCAGCCTCCTGGTATTTTTCACAACTGGTTCCAGTTTGACTTCAATGAAAACTACCTGATTAAATGCTCTCTCTTGTTTCTTGGGTACTGATTATTTTCTGGTGGCAATGTTAATCAGGGGGCAAACTTCAGTGACCTGCTGAATGCTTGCTCTGTTTCTAGAAAGATGGTGAAGTACAAACACCCATACAGTCACAAAGTGTCACTGCATACGCTTACAGAGTGCTCACACAGTCCTAAAATGTTCTAGCTTAAACAGTTACTGATTTTCTCAGCTATCCTGCTCTGCTCCACAAAACAAAGTTTCAAATAGTTCACTTTCCCAAGATCCAAAGCATTGGTTAGAAAAGCTTCACAGTATTGTTGCACACACCATATTCATATAAGGAGCTCTCTAAAGAGAACTAGCCCCAGCGATGAGCGCAGAAACTACATTCTGTAATTGGCTTTCCTCTTCAAAAAGACCACAGTAAAATGACGTGAAATGTTTCGGTGATTCTCCTTCCCTTTGAAGTGACCCTAATCTAAACTGGTTGGAGAGTCTGGGTGACAAGGAATTATCAAGTGACTGACAGGAACATCAAAGTGAGTAATACGTTCTTACCCAGCATTGCCACCATCATTAACGAAACCACGATGTGCTTCACAGCCTTTCTTTTGTAAAAATAAAGGAGAATGCAGAATATTATGATTTCTAAAATCTGGAAGTAAAAGGGAAGAAAGTTAGAGCTGTAAAACTGTGTAATAAATGCTTTATTCAAAGGCTTTGAAATGTCATGTTTTGTACTTCTAGCTATATTTTCTCACGGGATGACTTTTAAGGTGACAGTAAAGATATCTATATTTACTGAAATTAATTTTTTCAGAACTTCTGTGTTTTTAATTCTTATAGAGTAAGGGACTTACCTGGGGAAACAGCAGTCTTTCCTTATGGATATGGTATTCTTAGTGTCAGTCCTTGTGATGTGCAGAATTATGCTTGTTGACCTTTTTGCCCTTCTTCCAAGCCCTGCTCAGAAAAATCCACCTAACCCAGTCTTTCTGCTCTGACTTTCTGCCATACATCATCAGGGAGAAAACATTTATTTGCTGTGGCATTTCTCAGATGGCAGGGTACCTGTCAGGAACTCACCTGGAAAAGCTCAGTGACACACCAGCAGACCACACTGCAGGACAGCTGCAGCTGCTGAAGCACTTTTACTCTCACTGCCCATGGTCCAGACTTGCTCCCTCAATAACATCTGACAGTTGGTTACATTTATGGACTTGCTGTTAATTTGTCTCATTGCATCACCACCTCAGCAGAAGCTTCCTGCTGTTCCAGCTGCCCAAGCCACCTCCAGACTTTTCTCTGTGCTTAGTGGTGCCGAATGGCCTTGGGGAGTGACTGAGCTTCAACAGCATCCCAAAAGGATGGGGATTCTTCACCTACCACGCATAATATAGTTAAAGGATGGGGATTCTTCACCTACCACGCACAATATAGTTGCACAAATGCCCCTCTTTGCTAAAATCAACAGAAATTGCAAGTGCAGAAAGCCTCTTGAAAACAAGAATGATGGGACCTCAGGGGTACTGAGAGCCTCCTGGCCTGAGAGACTGGGTGGAGAAAGAGAGGTTTGTGCACATGAGGAAGTAACTGAATGGAGGAAATAGGACAAAAAATGAGATTGTCATCGGTATTGAATCTGATTATTTTCATTGTTTTACCAGTGAAACAAGTCAAAGAAAAACATTGCCTCTACTCCTTTGGTTCCATCAATACCTTATTATTTTATATTTTATACAGTCCCTCCATTCTTAACACAACACTCCAATAAAGATCTGGGTGTTGCTCTGTTGCTATTTAAAAAGAAGGCACTGAATGGTTAGCAGCAGTAGTTATATAATGTAAGACTGCAAATTTCTCATCATGGAAAATAAGTGCACAAGTAAGAAGTTGTCAGCTGCATTCAGCAACTAACATTTTCTACCACACTCACTCTCCTCCAGATTATTAGTGTGCAAAAATATGAACAGAATGTGGTATGCTTTAATTCACTTTTGATTGACTTTCACACTGATCTGTTGCTGTTGAAAACAACTGAGATACCATTGCATCTAAAAACAGTTCAAACACAAATTTAGATTTTATAATTTTATACCACCATTCTTTAAAGAAATTCAAGCGTTTCTTACAAGAGTAAAAAAAAAACAAAAAAACAAACAAAAAAAAAACACAACTTTTTTTGGTAAATGTTTGAATGTAGGAAAGCATTTTGCTGTTGGTTAAAAGAAACAAAAACATTTCTGGACTAAACATTGTTCAATCATCTTTGCAATCTCTTGCAGAATGCTGCTCTCCCCTCCCTCAAGAACAACACCCCTAGTGTGCCTGCAGGAATGAAAACTGGGACACCATATGGTAGAACGAGGCCTTTGCCTCAGCCTCCCAGTAAGGAACCTCTGCAGCCTACCCAGCTTCATGCAGCAGTGTAACATTGGTTATGTTTCAATTGGGAAACAAAGCAGAAGACATGTTAGCAACTGCAGGCTTGTGAGTTCATCTTGGTCTCCCTGTGGAAAACTGCAATGGTTCTGAGGGAACTCAAGAGGAAAAGTAAAGGTAGCAGCTTCACTGTTTGTGCCACTGGCAAACACATCTCAGGGCCTAAGGGAAATATCACATTATCCAGCTGCAGTTACAATAGCCTTCAAATAGCTCCAGTTGCTTTTTGTTCTGTTTTTATTTTAATCAGTGAACAATTGCTAGTGGAATAGAAGAAAGCTCTGCTAAGTATCTCCCATGTGGAAAGGTCCTCATGTTGAAAGAAGTTCCAGAGATGTCCAAGAACTCTTCCTCCATGATGTGCTGGCTCAGGAGGTGAAAGGCTCAACAGGCTCAGGGTGGGCAAGCAGAGTGTTGTGACAGGGATGGGGACATGGCAGCATGTGACATGGCACTGCAGGACCTGCTCTCATGGCCCTTGTGGAAACCTGTGCAGAGCATGCATAAATGCATGAGACTGCCTGCTGTAAGCAGCCAGCTGTACCTCGGTATCATCCATTCTATATTCCCTAGACAGCTTTAGGAGATCCAGTCACCATGAAAGAAAAGAGAAATGCCTTTATATGCAGCTGAACCTAGGAAGAAAGCAGATGCTTGCTTTTCAGGGCTGTTATTTAAGTTTATACAACTCTCCTTTTGCGCATTTTGCATGAAATACAAAAAATTAGTTCTTACCTCCTGCTGCCCAGCAGCCAAACTGCTCTTACCATCAAGAGGTCCCCTTTAATCAGAAGACAAGGGGAGGACACTGCACTGAGTCACACTGCAAGCGGAGTGGATGGCTCCTAACAAGACCTCATGCAGATGGGGTCCTTCCTGGGGGTGTTCTGGCTGTTGCCTTTGGTTGTGTCTTGAGAATTACTCCAAATGGTGCTCAGTTTCAATGGATGTTAGCTGCAGTTGTGTTAAGTACAGCAACCAGGAATGGGAAGCGTGTAGAATCTAACAACTTTCTTAATATATTCTGTTTATAGAACTGAAGGAACTTGACTCATTTACAATCATTTTTACAACTGTAACTGATCTGCACTGAAGTCTTCTCAGGTCCACATTATCAACATTTTTATAATTGTGATGTTTTCTATGTTTCTAAGCATTACCAAACCTGGAACAACATACTGCATTGTCTGCCTCAGTTGGTTTTCTAAGACATACAGCAATGCAGGGACCAATGAACCAGAATGGTCTCCTAGACACTTTGAAGGAAAAACAGAAATGTTTTGAAACTGATTTTACAGATATTAAAAATTAGCAACCCAGTGCTCACTACTCTTCTGTTTAGGGAAGTCTAATAGCTTCATCTATAATTGATGCCTTCTGCAGTGACTCAAAGTGTGCATATACAAAAAAGAAAGCAAGCTAGGATAGCCATTCCCGCTTAGACATGAATGCAGAGTCTCAGAAGGTGGCTCAAAGTTGTCTCGTGGGAACCACAGGCTATTTCTGCAGAACTGCACTGATGCCAGTGGTGAGCCACAGGGGGATGGTTTATCACCCACACAGAACATTTTGTACCACTGGAGCTTTTTATTCCTCAGCAGACCATACTTCAGGACTACTTTTAGAAAGACCGTTGGACTGCTTTATGCTGTTGCACTGTCTCCTTTCTATATATATTTATATTGGAAACTCGGCAACTTCTGCTGTAGCTGTGCTTTTATTATACATTAGCAGCAGCCAACCTGCACTAGAAATTTCACAAACAAATATGAAGAGCTAATTCCCTGTCCAAAGAGAATATTTACAGCAGGGTTTGCTTGAACTTCCAGCAGCGTGCCAGGCACATCAGGCTGGTACCTCTGGGTCTCTTGAGGAGACTTTAATTCTTCCCTTTTCTTTTGACACAAAGAGCTCAAACCAAATGAATCTAGGGAGTAGAAGGAACAAATCAAGTTTGATTTGTTGTTGAATCAAGAACACTTACTATGTAGTTGCTCCATTTTCCCCTGCAATCCATGCTACAGAACTGGATGCTGGCTGAGTCAGGGAAAAGAGAAAAGGGGAAAGGAAGTCCAGGGGTTACCTGTCACTTCCTTATACTTTCTCCTAAGAAGAACAGAATAAAATCTTCCTACGTATTCAGCTGTGTTCTTATTAAGTGTTCCTGAAATTAAGTCTTGGGGAAAAGCACTTTTTCAACAACCTGTAAGAAAATGTGCGTATTATATGGCACAGAAGTTTGTGGTATTACGGGGGCTGGATGGAGAGTTGTCTCCTTCCACCTTCTTTACACAAAAGGGTGAGGCAGTAGTTGAAGTCTGTACCTAGAATGACAGTCTGTTTTGGTACCTATAGGTGGAAGCACATGCTTGAAGAGTATATCCAGTAGGAAAAAGAAAGGGTGCTGAAGCAACTGAGTTTCTTGTTCTGAATTACCTCCTTAAAGGGTCCCCCTCCCTCTGCTAATTACACAGACTTGCTGAAGCTCTTGTCAAAGCTGAGGATGGCCTTAGTGAGTACCCCAGAACTCCTAGGCATTGCTTTCACAAGCCAATCTGCTACGTCTAAAGTGCATGCTATGTTACGTATGTCTTTGGAGTGTGACCATTAATTTCTTTCCTTGGGTTGGATTATCATATTTCAGAAGCTTTAAAAGTGCACAAATAATAGAGCAAGAGGATCAACTTTTGTTTTGTTATCATGTACTTTATGCTCAGTAAGTACCCTCAATGAGTAATTAATACATATATTTTAAATCTGCAGGCTGGATGATGCATAAAGACCCTCAGTCTGCCTACTCAGTGGTTTTCTAACTCAGCTTCCTCCTGGAGAGAAACCTGGGCACCAATCATCTAACCCAAGTGAGAGAAAAGTAACCACTTCTGAAGCATCTTTTACATTCAGCAGGAGGAAAAATTTTTCAGAATTCCAGAGAGGAAGAGAGAGAGAAATTCCTTCTGTTCACTTCTTGTCTTGTTCCTGATGCTAATTACATACATCAAAGAAAATGCATGGATTTGAAGCTTGTATGCGGATAGTTTAACCAAAATGCCATTCTTGTATTTAATTCAAACTGCAGTTCAGATGAATCTGAATGGCAGTGAGACAGGCTTTCTATCTACATTTCAGCTCCATACAAAGCTCCTTTGGGGCAGACTCAGCAGCATGTAGATAAAATGGGGGGGTACAGAAGAGCAGAGAACTATTTTCAAAAGTGCAATTTCATTACATTCCAGAAAAGTGCTGTAACTAACATATATATACGCAGACAGTATGGCATGAACACATATTTTGGTTCAGCACATTTTCAGCTTGGAGACTGGAGCTCTCTTTCCTGTGAAATCCACACAGGGAACAATGCCTGTACCTGCAGCAGCAGTTTTTCTGCCACTGATTCAAATGGTTGCCCAAAGCCCAAGAACCCCAGTTTCTCTGATTTAGGCAGAAATGTGAACCAAATACTCACCACGTATACCAAGAAAGGCCAGCTCACTAAGTCATTCTGTACTCGTCTTGCTGTGAGCTCCTGGGGTACATTTGGAGCAAATGTCACCAACAGGTATGTCCCTACTACTGCTAGAGTCCCTCCTTTAAAGAAAAGGAAATAATGACTTGTTAATACATGTAACTGTGGTGATTCTTGCTCTCCAGCTTCCTTAGAAACAGCTTCAAAAAGAAAACTGAAGTCTTCTTGATCAGATCTGGGCTTAGGTATTTGGACTGTCTGGGGTTCTATCTAGTACAATTTTTATTAAAGACATAAAGAATTCTGGAATTACAAAATAAAAAGCTGTCAGTAAAGCCTCATGGATTAGGGTCACAGTGCAGCAGCACATTTTCATTTATGCTCAATTCTAATACCAAGTGCATTGCAAAGAATTGATCTTTTGTATTCTTCATAGGCACAGTGCAGGTTGCAGAAACTTCTCCTAACCTGGAAGACAGATCATCAACCAGCATAAACATACTGCTCTCCTGGAGTCACTGCGCCCACAGAGCTCTGCACCAGTGACAAACCTGCCGTGCAAACATTAAGTGCAACAGATAGGTTCTAGTCCAATGCTTATGCAAAGTTGTCAGGAAGCCAATGTTTCAGCCACTCCTTGCTGCACTTGCAGACCTATGAACTGTTTTATAAAAGTCTGATTTGCAAAAGACTGCTCAGCCATTGGGTTGCTGGGGCCCCTTTTCAAGGTCAGACTTGCATTATTGTGCTTTTAATAAAAATCTGGAAGTTCTGCCGTGTGGACAGCCAGCTGACAAACACAGATGTTCATTGAGTTATCTAGATAGAAGTGAGCTGATCCTGAGCTCATAAGCTGTACTGGATTAGGGAAGATATTAGCTAATCAATTTTTTTTTTCAAGCAATCTTCAAAATTCTTGGCAAACCTACGAATTGGTGTGGAGTACAATGCTCAGGAATACAAAACAAAGCACATCCGGAGGGTTTTGCTGGCACTGCTATCACACACAATTTCTTTGGAAAAGCAGCACTGTTCTATATTTATGTGCTCGCAAAAACATCACCATATTTCCCATCATACAGCTCATTCCTATGGAATGTAGCAACATTGTTAAATCCTTCTTGCATAGTCTAACTCACAAAAATAAAATAAATCAGTGCTGAGCACTAGTTAAAACAACCCACAGTTATAAGGCCATAAGGGAAACACGATCAATTGAGGGGAGAGGGGGAATTTTGAATGTAGCAGCTGAGCTGGCAAATTTGGATCTCAAACCTAAATAAATATTATATAGTATTCCTGGAACAATTCTGAATGGATCTCTCCAAAACATTCATGAGAACAGCTGGGATGAACTTGTTATAGTATGGACAATCAGGCCTAGATGCTGGAAGCTCTGCAGTAACACCAGATGCCCCATGGCAGGTACCTGTCAAGTGTGCTCTCTATATCGACAATGCTTGGTGCAAAATCCAAATTCTGAAATATGCTTGTCTCTCACTATTACAAGCAGGGCAGTTTTGATATGTAAAAAATCTTGGACACACACACACAAATATGACATACTTTTGTAATGAAGACCACATTTCCCAACAGAACTCTCGACAACATGATTGCTCGCTCTTTGAAGTGATAAAATTAATACCAAAAGGGAATTTGCCACTTTTAATTGAACTCAAATTTTTGTGCAATATCTATGCAGTAAGAAAAAGAACCTTGTATTTGAATGAATAACTCAGTAATATCATTAATTTTATTAGAATTTACTCACAAAGATAACGCTAAATACAACCTCAGAAGTAAAACCAGACTATGAAAATAAATCTGAGCAAAAGGACACATAAGGAATGAGTTCTGGCTATAAGCGCAGAGGATTTGGGAGCGCAGCCTGTTTCACATGCACTGAAGATTCTCCCTCTTTTTGTCACTTCTTCCCGATTTTGTAAGTAACTGCCTCAAAACACTCACTTGGGAAGTGGGAGTGTGAAGTGGGGGGTTGCATGAGAGCTTCAGCTTGCTAAGCATATGGCCACACACGTCCATATTAGCAAACACTTACCCAGTATATCTGCAGCCCTCATGGTCTTCTTTAGGAATAAGACAGAAATAAATGCACTACCTAGAACAGAAACATAAAGTCTTTTATATATATATATATATATTGGATAGAATATCAAGTGCTATAGCAAAAAGCCACCCTGAGCCAAGTATAAATATATCTCAAAGCTGTTGCACTGTACCATGATATAACCAGACAGGAGTCCATTCCAGCAACCAACCAATACTTAGTTTTGTATAATTTTAGACATAACCAGCATGCTCTTACGTAGTTGAAGAGCTGCAATACCCTTCCTATCTCCCACACAGACACTACATAAACTGCCCTGATTCAGTCATATGTGGAAGCGTCAGGAAACTTGGGCACTGATCAGTCCTGCTGTTCCACTCCCTATTTTCCCCTCAACTATCTCCATGGATTCAGACAAGGCATAGAAGGATAAATTTCTGCTTCTCTAGACTTCAGTGTATTAGAAGCCTGTAAGTGAAGTAGCAGAAATACAACTGAGAGAAAGAAAACCACTGAAAAAGCCTAATGTCATGAACAAGTGGGAGGAGGAACTAGTACATAGGAGGGCTGCCCACAGTCTTCTAGAATGACTTGTAATGAGAAAAATGGAAGTGAGCACTTGAGATGTTCACAAAAATGGAAATGAACTCATCGTTCCTCGGCAGCTCCATCCCTTGCCCAGGTTTCCCACTTTGCCTGTAGCAGCTTCCAGCCCAATCCAGCAGCAGGAAGTGGGTGAGCACCAGCAGCCATCACAACAGGATTTCTGGTGAGCAGCTCACTGTGGACATGTGCTAGAGGAGGAAGAAGGGGTTTGGAACAAAGATGTACCTCTAAGATTGTAAGATAGCTGTAAGAGATGGCTCTCTTCCAGTATGCAACATTAGAGCATCTACATCTAAGGGGAGGCAAAAGAGGCTGAATAGCTAAAGGAGATGGAGAAAACCCTTTGGGAGGGGTGCACTGGTAATGTTAGATTTAGAAACTTCAAAGAATGAGATTTAGAAACCTCACTGTCCCAGTAGGGACACTCTGAAGAATACACTGAACCTAAGTTGTGGGAAGTTGTTCTATGTTCTCTGTTCCTGCCTACAGGACGAAGTTATTGGTTTATTCTTGAAACAATAGATCTTTTTGTGACCATCTTTGCCTCATTATCTCTATCATTCCAATGGAAAAATTAATCAGTTGTTAACTACTAGATACACTCTAGATATCTCAAAATAGGTTCATAACGAGAGATAATTAGAATGAGAATACAGCATCATGTCAGTAGAAAATGAGACAAAACTTAAACTGCGTGAAGAGTGATGGAGCTCTATGCAAATGAATAAGAACAGTAAAAGAATCTCTAACTGAAGATGCCATGCTGAAAGCACACTATCTGACATAGTTTTCTTTTTTCACTGAGAACTCTGCTGTAGAAGACACTGGTATCCAGGCAACACTGGCAATACCAGAGCTAACTAGTTTCTGAAAAGAGAGAGGATAAAAGGCAGGAGAGAAGCAGCAGCAACCTGAGTTAGTGCAGGAATTAATTACTGCTGTCAGAGCTCCCCCAAACCACATCTCAGACCACCCCATATGTAGCCACTGTAACAGTACAGACCTGTTGTTTAATGAACTGATGACTCAGTGATTTCTTTTCTTGACTACTTTGTCTGGGCTCCCCATGGAGATCTAGTAAACACAACAGAGTTCAATCCTGGTATTGGCATCCAATTTGGGGTGAAATGATTTATGCCCACATTTCCATTGCCTGGTTCTCTGGAGATGATAAATAGCAATCTGAGTACACCACAACCTCTGAGGCTGGCAGTAGGCATAGAAATGCATCCAGATAAGGAAACCAGTCACTCAGCCTGTCATCCACTTGAATAATGCAGATGTGGCAAGCTCTTTCTCCAGAGATAGCTGGTAATGCACAAGAGATCACAAGCTTAACAGAATATATGTATAATTAATACTCTTTATGATGTGTAATATGTAGAGGGATTTAAAAAAAGAAGAGGTTTAGAGAACGTACATTAGGCCATCTGGGATGGGAGGAATTGGTAAAATCTGAAGTAGGTGGGGAGATGCCAATGGAAGATGAGCAGAGTGAAACCCAGGGGAGACTTTGAATAGAAAAGGCACCTGTCCCTGTGGATAAGCCACCAAGGCTTCATATGTATTCAAGTGAAGCAGAAAAGCAAAAGCCTCACAGCCTCAGGTGCATTCTACTCCTTAAGATGTTCACTTCTCAAGCCAATATTAGCTGACAAATATTGTCCCTGACATCTCCTCTGTGCATGGTGACCTCCAAGCTGCCATGCTATGAGCAGGAGGCTGGGACCTTCCAAGGTCCCCTCCAGCCTGAGTTATCCTAGGGCTGTGGGAACCCCTGGCAGAAGAGTAAGAGGGCTGCCAAAGGCCAGAGCTAAGCACACCAGATATATGAGTTAAAACCCTTCCCATCACCCAGCCCCAGTTTCCCCTTTCCTACAGAGGGTCCTCTTGTTCCTCCCTCTGCCACAGGAGCTGTGGGCATCCTCTGATGTTTTACCAATGTGGGAAGGAGATCACTGAACATTGTGTTCAGCCACATGAATGAACAGACTAAGGAGGTTGGGCAATTGCTGTGCTGAAAAGTATTAATGCATCTTTCCAATTCTTCATTCATTAGCCTGCTTTTCTTTAAAATAATAATAATAAAAAGCTGTAGACAGTCATAGAGATTGAGATCCATGTCACTGAGGCCTATTCTCTGGTTGTTTTTTTAACTGGTCAGCTATTGAATTCAGCAACAAAGAAAAGTAAACAAAAAAAATTGTCAGAGCATAAGCTGACAACAGCATGGCACTAAAGCAAGCAATGTATCATAGTTCTACACACTAATTGTTTTGGAACCACTGGTTCAATCACACGCACATCTTTAAGACTGAATTGTCAGCCTGTAGTCACTGAAGCAAAGACTGCATCTTCACTTGTCTGAGACAATTTGTATACTTTCAGCTGGATCAAAACGTTTTCAGTTAACTAATGAGGTAAAATTTAGAAAACAAGGCATGGATCTTACTCCAGCTGAAAGCAGACTCAGCTGGCCTGCTAGACCAAAAAAAAAAAAGGCAGAAAATCATCACTGGAAGTGTTGAAGAAAAATGTAGGTGTGGCACTGAGGGACATCAGTCAGTGGGCATGGTGGTGATGGGCTGATGGTTGGACTAGATGATATACGTGGTCTTTTCCAACCTCAATGATTCTATGATTTGTTAAGGATCGAACATTGCAGAATCAAGCCTGGGCAAAGGAGAACCAAACAAATCAGATGAAATCAAATAAAATCAAGAAAATGTCTGTATCTCTATAATAGAGCCTTTTTGAAAGCTCCTGAAGCTCTTCAATCTGGAAATCTGGAATTATTATTTCAAATGAAAAATATTATGGTTTGCAATTGCATCAAAATTGGGATAAATATAAACTATCAAATGGAAAAGGGAAAAATAAAGAGTTTGTTAAGGAGCTGAATTGTTATGTTGAAACAACCACGCCTTTTTACATACCGGCATAAAACAGTCTATTTTGCATTCACTGTCTGTTACTATAGCGTATGAATTTCTATTTAAATTGAAAAATATGATAGGAAATGTCCATTTTCTGCATGGTATACAATTAAGAGCCTTAAGGGAGAGGTGTAATAGTGCTACACATAAATTAGTCAAATGCTGATTCTCCTCGGAGAGTGATAGCATGCGATTATCTCCATATGTAGGTTTTCTGCAGGAGAAACAGAAATAAAGAATAGCATGATGTGTGGGTTCTACCACCAGCAGACACTGAAGGGTGAGAATCCAGCTGAGAAAACAACTCCTCTGCCTCCTAGACAAGAAATGTGCAGTTCAGCTTGTTTCTTTTTTGTTTGCTTGCTTATTTTTAAGAAAGGAATAATATAGAGCAATTGAAAACAGAAAATACATACTGAACATTAGAATGCATTTTTTGCATTTAATCCAATCCAATCTTAAAAGACTCAAATAAAAAAACAGTGTCCATTATTCATTTTTTCTACCCAAAACAATTTAATGAATATTTTTCATTATTAAACTGTTTTCCCGGTACTGAAATCATCTATGACTCTCAACTCTTTACCTTTATTTTTTAATTTCAGATCCTACCTCAAGGAATGATTTCCATAACTGTCCATAACTATAAATCATAGAATACCCCAGACCGAAAGGGACCCTCAAGGATCACTGAGTCCAACTCCTGGACTCCTCACAGGATCACCCAAAATGCTAGTATATCCTTAATTTTCCTCATTTTAAGTCTTAGATTAGCTTTATTTAAAATAATTGGTACAATCTTCAGAAATGCACAGATAAATTTTGCTCTTTCTCTCTTTTTGATAGAGAGAAAAAGAAATTGAACATTAGTCTCAAATAGCCATTCTCTTAAGCTTAGCTGATTGGTAGCAAAGCTGAGGTCACACCAGTTAGGCAAAGGCTCCTAAAAACACCTGTTTTGCAGAATGCTTCTCTATGCACTTCACTGGCAATCTGGATAAATGCCAAAGGAGGAGCACTAGCCATGATGTGAAGACTTGTTTAATGTTCGCACCTCTCCCAGTTTGTGCAGTAGGGAAAACATTTCACTTGGTGTCCAAGCATGTGCACAACTTTATGGGTCTGCCTGCAACTTATGAAGCAGTTTAAACTCACCCAAATGATTTCACACTAGAACTGCTGAGGAATGCTCAGACTGTGAGGATGCTGCTGCTCAGGAAGGTCACATCTGAAAATGCGACCGTAAAATGTGCTTTGTACAGAGAGATCCTCAGACCTCTGTCCATCTACTGAGCTGAAGAGATTCAGGACCATCCTGGTACTGACGTGAGAAAGATCGTAAATCACAGAATCATAAGGTTAAAAAAGACCACTAATCCATCCAATCTAATGTAGGCTGCCACACAGGCAGGGAGATCTGGAGAGAAGATGAGGCAGGTAGTACATTTGATCACTGCAACCCAAATGAGCAGGAGGCTAAGGAGACAGATGATGGGGAGCAGCTCTTCCTGGGTAAGTACCAGTATGCCCCAGAGGTTCTGGAGGCCAAGCACTAAGAGTGGGACAAGAAAAAAAACTGAACAGTTGAGGTTGCTGGTCATCACAAAAAGGGGATTTAGCTGAAGAATAAGCACCTGTAACATCATCTCCATGGTGGAGTCTGCAAGTAAATAATTCACAACAGAATCTCCTAGAGAATATCAGCCTGAAACTTCTACCATCTTATCCTTCTGCATCCCTATCTTGCAGCAGCCCAAGAAAATCCAGGCTATGGTCCTACTGTGGGTCATTTTGTGGAGACAAGGGAGAGGCTTCAGGTGTGAGGTGGAGAGGTACTGTTAGACCTGGTGGAATCTGGGCCTCCTCTGTTGCCCATTAACGTGCATTTGGAGGACATGAAGAAACATCTGCATGCATAGATAAACAGAGAGCCAGCTCGGCCCAGGACATCTAGGAACAAATTTATCACAGCTAATCATTAAGATTACTCTTAGTTTAAATGATAGCTATTAATGGCGCACTAAATACAAAGGGAGATATTAAAGATTTTAGTCAGATGGTGCCTGACCTCATGACAGATATTCTGCAAACTGAACGTGCAACATTTCTAATGTGATGAAACATCACTACTGGAAAAATGGTGGACAAGACATTATTTGCTTTTCCCCTGTGTCAATACCCTAATAAACAAGCAAGCAAGATGTCAGAGAAACTGCTCAAAAGAAAGGCCATTATGGTAAGTTTAATTCTGGAAACTGGGTTATAGAACATACACATTGCAGAGAGAAGGAAGAACCCTGAAAATAATTTTGTTGCATCTTCAGAAAAGCACTTTAAAGAACAGTCTGGTGACTGCGTCCCAGTTCACATTAGTAACAGAGTTCTCAGAATCTCATGGTCTTGGACCACAAAGGTGTTATGTTACACGGAGTGGGAGAAATACTTTTCTGCACAAATATCTGAGATTTTTTTTTTTTCTTAAAACACCATCAGGAATATCATTTTCCAAAGCCTAAAGCAATGTCTTGCCCCATGGCTATTTAGAAGGAGCATACGAAAATGAAAAGGGATCTCAACACTGTCAGCCTAAGTGAGTTAAGTGTAAAAGAAACTCTCTAGAGAATGATGAAAAACTGCATAAGAAGCCATCTCTGATTCCACCGGCCTCTCCTCACACAACCCCCCTAAGTTATTTCTGCAAGCAAAAGCAAGGGAATGAACAAAAAAACCACACGGCTCTAAAATTACCCAAGCTGCTTGTAAGAAATGATTTTTAATTTTTAAGTATAAAAAGCTTTTTAATGATCACATCAAACATGTATTACCCCTCTTTTTTTTTTTTTAATTAAAAATTTACCAATTTTTCCTCTGGAAGAAAACAACTGCTGTCTTCTCAAACTATTTAAAATCCTGAACAGATGCAGAGCTTGCATCTTTGCAACCACACATAGAAATGCTTCCACTGTGCAAGAAAAGAATATATAGTCTTTGTAGCTTAATTCTAAGAAAAGAGAAAAATCTACTGGTGTTGTGCCAACTCATGGTCTGTGGTGATGAATTCTTTCTAAAGCATCCATCAGAAGCACCCATCTCAATAGGATGAAGTACAAACTTTTTGCTATTTAATTGATACTGAATTAAATGCAAAATTCAGTTGGATTTGGTTAAATGTGATTGCGGGATATAATAGTTGTTGGCTCCATCTATTTTAAGACCCAGAATGCTTTCTATTTCAGAAGTTTTGAGATACATCACGGGAATAACCCAAATCTGGACCAGGCAGACTCCAATATGCCTTATTCTCTTCTCACATCCTGGTTTTGAAGCAAAGAAAAAGCTCCACGTGGACCCCGAGTCACAGAGATCTTCAGGGACAGCTGGGCACATCATGAAGCACAGCTCTTCTCTGCACGGCCACAGTGCTGAGCACCCCAAGTCAGTGACAGAGAACTCTCATCTTAGGTGTGTTGACAACACATTCAGAAAAAAGTGCTGACCAGAAGGTTCAAATACAGATTTGGAGTTTGTTAACAAGCAATTAATTTCTTCATTTAAAAAAATAAGTTATGAAAAGTTGCACATTCAACAATGTGCCTCAAAAGAGCAGCCAACTAGACTACACAAAGCCCGCATTCTCCACCTAAATGTCCACATCATAATGAAAAAGTATTTCTTGATCTCTAAAAATGGAAGACCTATTCTCTGCACAGCCACTGGCAGCTGATGTGCTGCATCCTGGTCAGTTTGTCATTGCCCTAAACTCTGAACTGTTGTAAACTTAAAAAGAGGCTTGCTCTTTCTCTGATTCTAATTTCAGAAGACAGGCAAGTATCTAGCGGTAGGAAGTGTTACTGGGAAGTTATTGTTGCAATTGGCTGTCCACATCATTTTTACTTTCCCTTCCTTAAGGGAATGTTAGCTAGACTAAATACAACTTCAGATATCTCTATTGTTTGGGCTAAGAAAGGGATACTGCCGGCTGATATATGGGAATGGAATATAAGTTATTAAAGTGCTTTCTGGGGTCTTCCAGGATAAACATTTAGGGATCAGTTAAATTTTTTTTTTTTTAAAGTTAAGTGGATAAGAGTTTTGACAAAATATAACAGTAAGGTAAATGGTTTATTGGTATTTGTTATAAGTAAGGGGAAATGGAAAATGAAGGAAACAGATGCAGTGCTTCTTCATATATTGCAAAGGTATGGAAGAAGAAATCTGTTCAGATAAAAATCACCCTAAATATAACCTCTTCTTTGCAACAGCTTAATAACCAAAGTAATTTTTTCCCTTCCCAATGCTTTTCATTTCTTCTTTCTAGATGTATATGTTTGCATTTTCTTCAGTATGGGCAACAAATTAGATCAGGTTCCCGTATGTTGAGAAACATCTGGAAATGCCTACAATTGTTAAAGATAAAACTGCAACCACCAAAATCACACTGGGATCTGTCCTGTTAATTTACATTTTCATCTCAGGTAATATCTCATTCCTTTCCTTGAGAAATCTTTCCTACAGTGGTGAACTACAGTGGTTTTTTATCTTTCTCCAAAATTCTGCAATAGTTTAACATTAAAGGTTACAGTAAATTGCCTGCAGTTTCCTTCCCCCGCAACTTCTTTGCTAAATTGCACCCACATATGTTTGGCTGCCTCCTTCCAATACAGACAGACAGTCCACAGGGAAGATAATTCATTTTTTTGACCTTCCCATGCAGAACTGCTCACTGCAGCATTGCTTCCGAGCATGAAACTGGTAGCTAGACAAAGACCATGAAATGTTATCACTTGTCAATAGCAAACAAATGAGCTTCAGTGTATACAGAACTGTTGTTATATCTCAGCCCTGGGTGTTTCAGCTGTGGATGTGAACAATGTGATTAAGGGATATGCTGCACTCTGTATCTCTGTTTTCCCACACTCTGTATGATACTGCCCTGTGCACTCTGCTTTGCATTAGCACAACATAACCACATCTTTTAAAATGTATGTTTCTTTATCAAAGAAGCAAGAGACCTCATACCTGGGATAACCCTCTAAAAACCCTAAAGAAAAGTCCAAAACAAAAAACAACTATGAACAGTAAAGATTGCATCAATTGCATCCTAACAATACAAATAATTCTACTGAAGTCCAATCTGCACATCTGATTTTTGGGTGGTCTTGAGTGAAGCTAGCAGTTGGACTTGATGATCCTTATGGATCTCTTCCAGCTTGGGATATTCTAAGATTCCATGAAATGTCCATAACTAAGATAAGAATTCCAGGAAATTTCTAGTACCTGCTGCCATAAGTATTCTTTGGTCAGAGAAGGGTTCGTAAAAAACAGTGAGAAAAAGAAAGTAATGAAAGAAGTGAATTAGTAATGAAACTAATGAAAGAAAAATTGCTGTCCATTTACAGAGCATACTGTTCTGCAGAAGTGACTCTCATGTGTGGGTCAGGACAAACTGGTACCATTCAAACCCCAAGGTACACCCAAGTGTGAGGGCATCTGCCAGTGCCAGGTGAGTACAGGCAGGTGAATTTGCCCAACCCAACACAAAGCATGGGGATGGGCAAGGAGCAAGCAGCAGGACCTACTTGGTGTGACGGTAACACAGAAAACAAAATGTGGGTACTCAGGATCTGACCATAGCTCTGCAGGCAGCAGGATATCAGCCCCTGGCCTTGACAGCTTGTGTCGCCAGCACCATTGGTACAGAACCAGGTGACCAAATGGTAAGAATTAGCACAGCACAGAGTGACAAGAGTCCCCAGAACAAAAAATAAATAAATAAAATAAAATTAGAAGAGTCTCTGAGTTAAGTAGAGGCTTTGTGTTAAATTGTTAGCTCACATAATTACATGAATCATTTCTTTTCAAACCACAGCATTAGCATTTTCCCCTCATGTTCCTGCTGCAGTTCCCGTGCTATTATCCTCCAGTCACAAATAAGCATTCAATTAAAGCAGATACCCAAGCAAAACATGGGAAACATCTCACCTATGATAGATACACATCCTAGTGGAGCAACAAGGGCAATGGGGGCAAATCCATAGGCTGTGAAATTGCCCAGCTCTCCAAGGCCCAGCAGGACAGCTCCACACCACCACAGCTTGCTCCTGTAGAAGGGCTTCAGCTCTGCTTGGCGAGCCAGTCGGAGATGAGCGCATTTCTGGAAAATTAATTATTAGGAACAGGCATGAAAAGAAAGACTTCCATTGTGTTCTTATGTATAGCAAAAGTGGAGTAATTAAAGGGTTGTCATCTTTGAATTCCAGGTGCGTCAACGTTTTCTCTTTAAACACGCCTTTCAGCTTGCTATTGCAGACAGATGGCTTTGTGTTAACTCAGATGTGTACTTCCTAAGCCACGGTGGAAATGACTGAAAAATTAGACCTCTGAACAAACCCGAAAAGCATGAAGTGAATGCTAGCTAGTGCTTCTCAGCCATCCCTGCAAGCCTCTGTTCCAGTCTCAAAGCACAGATGAGCAGGTTGTGTTTGTGAATTTAGCAACACTCAAGGGGAAGAGATGGGCCAGAATCAGAACTCTGGCAACAAACTGGAAGATGGGGACTGAACAACTTGGTGTTTTTGTTCCTGATAAGTATTCTAGCTAAGAATACAATTCCAAGATGGAAAAGGCAGCACTTAACCACTTCTACTGTTGGGAGGACTGTTAATTCATTGGGAAGAATTTAGGATTTGGCTACAATCTCCTACCTGACCTTAGAATAAGATCTCAGCTAAAGCATTATTTTCAAAAAAAAAAACCAGCTTTAACAATATCAGCAGGAGAAATACATACTCAAGTAGTATTTCATCAGTACTTGTCACATGGAGAAGATATAACTTACACAGTGTCATTGTTTTCCCTCTGACTGTACAGAAAGTACCTGTATATAACAGGATAATTTGACTTTGACCATGCTGGAGTTCTGAAACAGAGCCCAGGCATTCACCACAAGGAAGGTGTCATTATGGGGAAGAACATCAGGTCCACCACACTGGTTTTGCAGAATATAATTTCCTTTCTCAGATACCCTATCAGCCCCTCTGCATAAGGAAATGAGTCAAAAAAAACCAAAACAATAACAACAACAACAACAAAAAAGATGGAAACAAACTGATAAAGCTATAGGATAAATTATTGTAAAGTATGCATTTTACTCCACCATCTGATATTTGATTTTGGAAGTGCTACTGCAGAGTCACAAGGAAGTTCTAAATCATTTTCCTCATGTTTCCTTTTCACTCTGCAGGTTTTGCTACAGAATATGGGTCAAACAGTGATGTCTGCTAGATGCCATAGCCTCAGTTATTCCCCTTTGTGAGAAAAAGAAGAACATTATGGCAGCTTCATGCTTTGGAAAATGCTCAGGGGATGAAATCCTAGGAAGAAGCTTAGCCTTTGAAGGAGGAAGGGAATATAAAGAAAAGCAAAATTCCCCAAGCCACAGGCCACCAATGCACAGTAATGTACACTATTTTGTATGTTGCATCTCTATAAACAAACAAAAAAAAAAATTCAAACATCTTTATGCCTGCAGACATTTAATCACATTGATGACTTCACTAAGCAGTCTTAAGAATATGCAATCACTTCCAGTTTAGATTGGAGCTAATGAGACAGGTTTTCGTGATGTGCAGTGGGACTGGATGGAGGTCATATCTGACACATTCTTACGGCACAGTACAAGGAGGTGCAGGAGGACTTACGAATTTTGATTCTGTTCTCATATGGGAATCACAGCAAATAACCAACCGAGGTATACCACCTAGCCAAAAACTGCTGCGAGTTAACGCGAGTTAAAGAAAGAGAGGGAATGTTTATTAAATGCAACAAAATTTGTATTTTGAACTTCACCATAAAAACAAATCATAAAATAAGTTGCTTTCCAAATACAAACAAATCAGAATAAAGAGAAATAATTTCATACCTGTATACTCAAAGAGATGCTAATCAGAAAATTTGAGGCAGCAGCAAGTAAAACTCCCAAGAGCTCAGTCTGCAGGATCACCAAACAGAGAAATATAAAACATACTTATTAGGTGAAGAAGAACAATATAACAGTGATTTTCTGATAGTACATCATAACAGGATCAAAAACAAATTATTGCACTTTTCAGTCACTAAGTTGAGGCTGCACTAAGAAACTGATAAAAAAAATCTCTCTGTACAGTGGACTGTAATAAGAAAGCTTGTGTGTGGTGCCTAGGGCTTAAGTAGTAAACAACTGGGAACTGGAAGGGCATCCCAATGCAGGAGGTGGTTTTACAGCCCTTCAAAAGAAAATGTCCTTTAATCTTGCAAAAGAAAAAACTAGACGTGTCTCACATGAACACTACACACACAAATTCTTCTTTCTTTTTTTTAAGTATGTGTTTTATTACATAACCCAGAAGTAAAATCAACAGCAATCACATTGTTCATATTGGAACACAGCGATTTTATGTTTCAACATATCCACTATTTGACAGGGCAGCCAGGATCATAAGTCTGCTGACAGCTTCTTTAATGTACCATATTATTTAACCAAATCCTTTTCTAATCAGCCTAATTTTCGTTAAAATTTGCAAGCTTTCTGTGAGGCTGAGAAATTAAAAACACTCATTATTTTGGGACTCATTATTTTGGGAAACAGCCATTCAAAGTTTCATTTCAGGAAGTTCAATGAACAGATACACAGCAGAACTTTCCATCTATGTTTGAAATGTTGCAACCTTTGTATGCTGCCCTAAGAATACTCACCCATCCAAGGCCACTACTACGGTTCCATGAGAAGACACATTAGCTTGCAGAGAGGACAAATGTAATATCAGTGGGCTTTTTCAAACAAAGACAATGAATGAGCATCTCCAAAAGCACGAAGAAAGAACAGCCTTACCACAAAAGGTCTAGCAAAGGATGATAATCTTAAAAGGCATATCTGAATCCAACTATCTCCAGCCTCATGCACTTCTGCAGCAGCTTAGGCTCAGAAGGAAGAGCAGACAACAGAATCATACATGGTGAAATGCTCTGCAGGTTGCAAAATGTCACCAAGACAAGTAAGTACTACAGGAACACGAGGAGTCTTGCATTCTCCTTCCACACTGGGAAACTGCTATCAAATGGCCATCACCCAGGGCCCCATAGAAGCACAGGGGGTGAGTTTTCCTCCCCAAAGCTTTGGTGCTGGTGGTACTAAATTTTGTGCAAAGTTTGACTATTGATATGTGGATTATTGTGTTCCTTTCTTCATCCAGCAAACAAACAGCAATATCAATAAAACAGCAGTTAAATCAAAATTGTTTTCTTGCTCCCTAAGACTTGGTCTTTCTAAATGACTACATGTTCTTTTGTGAGGGGGTGGAGAGGTGACCTTGTCAGCCTTATCATGAAGGGTTTAAGAATAAGGTGACAGCAGGGAACAGAAAACAGGAACTGCCAGTTCATTTACCTCATCATTTTGTTGCCTTCACGTAAGTTGCAGCAGAGAGCATGGGCTCTGCAGCTTTTTCCAGTTCAGCAGCCCTCACAGCTGTAGCTCTGAGCAGCACCTTACAGTTCCTTAATCCCAGCCCACAGTTGCAGAAACCGACTCAGGAAGAAACCAGACTCCAGGGAGAAATCGTGCTGGTCTCAAAGGGGGCTCTCTATCCAGCTTTTAATCTGCCAAAAGCACTTTCATCATTCGGTGTAAAATTCCTTAGGCAGGAGCCCTAACTTCTGATGGCAGTCAGCAGTCCTCATACGTGGCATACATGCCATGGCTGCAAGGGATGAGCTACGCTATCAGTGAAGAACATGGATGGAAACAGTGAGGTCACCAAGCTCAATCTGCATGAGTGGGCAGACCTGTGCACTTACATTCATCCTGGGCTGCTGAAAACCCAGGTGTAAGGTACCATATGGAATGACTGTCTTGGTCTATAATATTTCTCAGAACTGTTCCTTTTCTCTTAAGATAAAACTTGCATGCAGCTGGTGGCAGAGGATGAGACTCTGTTTAATTTGTCATTATAAACAAAAAGTGCAAAATTACACTCACTTACTGCTTCCAATGATGATCTGAGTATCGACCTCCAGGAACTCTGAATCAAATGCCCCTTTTATGGCTCTATGTAATAGGGATGAACTCATGTAAGTTTTGTGTGCTATAGCTGTGTGGTGTGACTGTACTTTCCAACAGGGACTCCAGACCGAAGTCTTCCCATGCTGAGCATTGCTTGTGTCCCCTCCAGCACTAAATGCTTTTGTACCTCAGCAGTTGATTTGTCAATTACATGAGAGCTTTGCTTCATTAGATTAGAATGAGCTTTCTTCAACTGGCATTGTGGGCTGCTCCAGATTTCTCACCATGATTACCCAAGTTCTGAACTGGAATTGTCTCTCAAAAGTCATTACTCTTTTTGCAGTTTCCAGAAATTCCTGGGAGCAGCTCAAATATTTGGCCTTCTAATTTTCTGGGAACTACTGAGACAACGTATGCTACCATAGTTTCAGTATTTCCCTGGTACTGAGACCAAAATTTCACTCAGCATTCCGTATGACATCTCCCAGGGCCAATAGTGCCAGTGATTCCTCATGGAGACCATAAGGGTAAGGCCTTCTCATACCAAGACAGGAACAGGCAGCCAGGGGCACCAAGCAGCTCCCTGGGGATGGAGACAGAGGATGGGCAGGGCCATAGGCTTGGCTTGGCAAGGGCCCATTACAGGCTGGAGCTTGGCCTTGCTGTGGCCTTGCTGGAGCAGAGTCTGACAGTCATAAGGCTAATGTGGAGATTTAGGCCATGGGCAGGGCTGAGGAGCCAGGGAAAAACAGTGCTTGCACAGGATCATGGCAAATCTATAGTGGCAGTCTGAGCTCTAAACTTACCCTCACTGCTCAGGTCATTTTATCGTAATGACCACATGGTTCACCTGCATGTTGCTGTTGGCATATATACTGCGCTGCCTGCTCTAAACTGACATGTGTTAATGAGCTCTGGTTAATAGTGTGATAGCATCGTACTTCCAAAGCCAGGGCCGGACAGACCCTTAAAGATTAAAAGCAGAGTGCAGTGCATGAGGGAGGTCAAATATCACATGGGAGACAAGATGAAAGTACAGTCACACCACACAGCTATAGCACGGAAAAACTTATGTGAGTTCATACTCAGGCATGCCAACGTTAAAGAAAACAACACGGAACAAAAATTCAGTAAAGGAGAAAATTAGATTGTAAACTTCACAAATCAGAGCATCATAAGCTAACAGACTTTTCCTAATGCACAAGAGCTATCATATAAAGTAGTGCTCAAAGCACTAGCTCAGACTAATAAAACCAGGCATGAATGAAAGATGATGACTTGCAACAGAAGAAAGATTACCCTATCAAACTGAAATGGTTGCTGTATTGCCCTGAAGACCACCAGAATCCTTGTGTTCCAATCTTGTCATATAAAAGGCTTTATCATTTGTGTTGTGTCCACCATTCAGTGTCCTTCAGAGGTTAGAGGACTGCTGTAGCAGCCAGTTTTCTAAGTGATAAACATGACATTCTCTGAACACAGAGTTTCCAGTTGTGATATCCAGTTGTGATATCATCCATACAACTGCAGAGCTTCCCACACAAAAGTCTTGAGACAAATCTCCACGAGGGAATTCAGTTGCAGACACAACTCCAGAGCCATGGTGCTACTTCACTCGACTAAGAAGTTCTACGGGAAAAAGATTGAAATACTCAAAACTGTTGGCATAAGATGCAAATCCCTTCATCTCCAAAACATCTGTCCAAAACAGGCCACTTTGTTGTACCCCAGATTTCAAACTGTTGACGCATTCTTCCAATGCTTCCAAATACATTACACTTGTCCTAGAAACATCCTTCCTGTAAGTTTTCCAAAAAGTAAAACAATACAGACATTTTATTTCCTTTACCTTAATTTGATTTGAAACAAGCTGTTAAAGTCACTTGCTGGCTTTGCAGCACATGAACAATAAACAGAGACTGTGGATTTACCAATGTTTGGCAGATCTCTAGTTGCACAATTGTACCCAAAGAGCGGTGGTCAAAGGTTCAATGTCTGGATGGAGATCGGAGATGAATTTTGTACCTCAGGGGTCAGTACTGGGACCAATGCTCTTTACCATCTTCATCAATGACACCAACAAGTGCACTCATTATTTTCTGGATTACACAAAACTGCGTGGTGCGGTCAACAGGCCTGAGAGATGGGATGCTGTCCAGAAAGACCCAGACAGGCTTGAGCAGTGGGTCCACGCAAACCTCATGAGGTTCAACAAATCAAAGTGCAAGGCCTTGCACCTGGGTTGTGGCAACCATTGCTATCAGTACAAGCTGGGACATGTAAGGAAAGAGCACAGCCCTGACAAAAAGTGAATGGCAAGCTGACCATGAGTCAGCAATGTGCCCTCACAGCCCAGAAAGCCAACTGTATCGTGGACTGCATTAAAAAGAAGCATGGCCAGTAGGGCAGGAGATGTGATCCTGCCCCTCTACTCTGTGCTGGTGAGGCCTCACAGTCCAGGAGTACTGTATCCAGATGTGGGATCCTAAGTACAGGAGAGATGTGGATCTGTTGGAGCGTGTCCAGAAGAGGGCCACAAAAATGATCCAAGGGATGGAACACCTCTCCTATGAGGACAAGCTGAGAGAGCTGGGGCTGTTCAGCCCGGAAAAGAGAAGGCTCAAGGGAGACCTGATAGTGGCCTTTCAGTACCTGAAGGGGGGCTGTAAGCAAGAAGGGGACAGACTCTTTAGCAGGGTGTGCTGTGACAGAACAAGGGAAAGTGGTTTCAAACTAAAAGAGGGAGGATTTAGATTGGATATAAGGAAGAAATTTCTTATGGTAAGGGTGGTGAGGCACTGGAACATGTTGCCCAGAGAAGTGGAGGATTCCCCATCCCTGGAGACGCACAGGTCAGGCTGGATGAAGCTCTGAGCAAGCATATCTAACTGTAGACATCCCTGTTCATTACAGGGGAATCAGACCAGATGACTTTTAAGGATCCCTTCTAA